TCATGTTCGTTGCATCCATGACACTGTCCAACCATCTCATCCTTTGCCGTCCCCGTCTTCTTTGACCTTCAGTCTTTCCCAGCATCAGGGTCTTCTCCAGTCAGTGCTACCTTCTCATTTGGTGGCCAAAGTATTTGAGCTTCAGCTTCATTAATACCAAAAATACCATGTCCTTTGAGCTCCCCAGCAAGTCTTCCATCACCCTTTGGCGGTGCCGTGCCCGATTCAATCATTTTCTGTGCCTTGAACCACCGATGTCAGGGTGGCTTCCTGCCTCACATGTGGTGGCCCCAGCTTGCCTTTTCTATCGCCTTACATGCTGGTCTAGCAGCAGGCTGCCATCAGAATGTGGGCCTTCTTCCAAAAGCCTTCTTCCTCTCGGGCCTTTGTGACTTTTCTCTGCCTGTAATGTAGTCCAGGGTTCGAATCTCACTCTGCCGAGAACTCACTAGCAGGGCCCGTTCCAGGTGTCTTGTTGCTCCAAGCTATACACCTCCTTCAGCCTTTGTGCTGTTTATCTTGTCCTCACAACAACCCTGCAAAGTAGGTGAGGCTGAGAGAGGGTGACTGGCTCGAGGTTGCCTGGCAGGCTACATGACAGAGTGAGGGTTTGAACCCAGACCCCCTGAGTCCTTGCTCAGCATCATGCTCTCTGGCAAATACGCTGTATTCAGTTGCTTAAACTGATGTGCCAAAAGGCCTCTGAAAACAGGGATTGCCCCAGAGAGGAGTTTGCTGCTCGAGCTTTGACTTTATAGCATCTCAAACCCTACTTTCCGGTCTTTGCTTTTTGGCTCTCTTTCAGTTGTGAGCCAAATTCAAAAGTCTGTCAAGTTTTGCAAAAATATTATTGTAAGGAGGTTTTAAAGAGGGCTGCGGGCCAACTTTCAGACTGGTACTTAGTCGGGACTCATTTGAATCAGAAGGACCTACAGCCAGTGTTCCCTCTAAGCTGAGTGAGTGCGAGCTAGCTCACAGTTTTTCAGCCTCCGGCTCACACATTTTTGGTCTTCGCTCAGGAAGGGATGGCTCCAGAGTGAACTAATTTATTCAGGAGCCAAATGGCTCGCTCACAACTTGAATGCCGGTAGCTCACCAAGTAGAATTTTTGCTCACGAGACTCCACAGCTTAGAGGGAGCATTGGCTGCCACCCATGCACACACATCTCGACTTTTGTTGAGGCAAAAGTGTGCCTGACTCCCCACCCCCAAACATAACCTCGGACCAGCCACAGGCCATGCTCCCTGGGTGGAAAGCAGGGAGGCCGACACCCCCCCCCCTGTTAATCTTCCAGTCCCCACCCTTCCTTCTGGCTGGGGAGATTCTACACGCTGACCTGCCTGCCAGGATTGAAAGGCAGCTACCAGGGACACGCCCGGACCTGGACGGCCCAGGCCAGCCCCATCTTGTCAGGTCTCGGAAGCTCAAAACCAGGGGCAGTCCTGGCTAGGACTTGGATAGGAGACCACCAAGGAATGCCAGGGCCGAGACCGAGAGGCAGGCAATAACAGCAAACCACCTCAACATCTCTGGCCCACGGGGGTCACCATAGGTCAGCTGTGACCTGACAGCAACACCCCACCAAAAAAAATCCCCCCCCAAGGATATTATGGTGGATATAAACAGCTTAGAGGGAGCATTGGCTGCCACCCATGCACACACGTTTCGACTTTTGTGGAGGCAAAAGTGTGCCTGACTCCCCACCTCCAAACATAGCCTCGGACCAGCCACAGGCCACGCTCCCTGGGTGGGAAGCCGACACCCCCCCGTTAATCTTCCAGTCCCCACCCTTCCTTCTGGCTGGGGAGATTCTACACGCTGACCTGCCTGCCAGGATTGAAAGGCAGCTACCAGGGACACGCCCGGACCTGGACGGCCCAGGCCAGCCCCATCTTGTCAGGTCTCGGAAGCTCAAAACCAGGGGCAGTCCTGGCTAGGACTTGGATAGGAGACCACCAAGGAATGCCAGGGCCGAGACCGAGAGGCAGGCAATAACAGCAAACCACCTCAACATCTCTGGCCCACGGGGGTCACCATAGGTCAGCTGTGACCTGACAGCAACACCCCACCAAAAAAAATCCCCCCCCAAGGATATTATGGTGGATATAACTGAAAGCCAGCAAATGAAAGAAAAAAGAGGAAATGTTGGGTGAACCTTCCTTGCCCCCCCCCTTCATCTAGCCCAGCCAGGAGCAGGGGGGAGAGTCCTCTCTGGAGATCTGGCTGGCCTCTCAGGGATACAGGCGCGCGAGGAATGGAGTAGATAAAGCAATGGCTGCCTCTTCCTCGTGCGCGAAGCCCCACCCCCCTGTTCCCTCTGGAGTGAGCGCGTGGAACCCTGAGGCCCGCCCAGAGGTGTCCAGTCCCCAGGGAGCTTCTTGAGCTTGGGGTACAGTGAGCTGGAGTTCGTGGAAGGGGAGTCCTGGCCTTTTTCTAGCCCGCAAGTGTGCAGGGATGATCGATCAGGAGGAGGCGAGGCAGCCGTTCTCCTGACTTCCCAGGAACACACCCCCCCATGTCCTCCAGGCAGCGGCTGGTCTTCTGAACACTGCAGTCCCCAGCTGCTGTGGTAAAAACTGCAGGTGGAGATGGTCCAGTGAGGACCATCTGGATGGGTCTGAAGACCGAGATGCATCACCAGGCTGACCAGAAAGGTTTGGAAACCACACGGAGCTGGGTGAAGACCAGATGTGGGCTGTGTGAGCCCGTTCCCAGGGGTTTCTCTCCCCCAGCAAGCAGGCGTCATCCCTAAGAGTTCTCCCATTCTTCCTCTCGCTCTCTCTATAGTCAGGCTCACTCTGACCTGGATGGCCTCGGCTTGCCCGATCTCATCAGATCTCTGAAGCTAAGCTGGGGTACTTAGATGAGAGACCACCGAGAAAGGTCAGGATTGCTCCGCAGAGAGAAGCAGGCAATGGCGAGCCATCTCCGCCCACCTCTTGCCTAGAAAACCCTACAGGGTCTCCATAAGTTGCCTGCAACTTGACGGCCCTCTCCACCACCGCAGTAATCAGGCTTAGCCCGTTGCTTAAAATGTCCAATGTGTTGCTTTGGTCCTCAAACTTCCCCAACCCCCAGCTGCTGTCAGCAACAGACCTGTCTTATTTGCATAACCCCCACCCCACCTGCAGAGTGAGCAGAGTGAGCAGAAGAAGCCTCTACTAGGCTTTCAAAAAATTCCGCTGATCAGACCAGGTCTCTCTCTCACACACACAGAGAGACCTTTATTGGCATATGAGACCAAGTCTTTATAGTCAGTCCAGTGTCCTGGTTTCTGTCCAGCAATGAGTGGTGCCATTTGTTTATTGAACTGAAAGTTCTCTCCAGCCTCTACTAGGCTTTCAAAAAATTCCTTGTTTGTTTCAGTAACATACAAATGTGTATTAACTTTCAGTTAGTTAAGGATGATCACTTAGCTAATTACCAAACTGTTTGACAGCCATGATCTTTATCATGTGTTTGCTGAGAAGGCCCGTGCTGTCTCCTTGGTTACAACTGGAATGGTCAGTTTTCCTTTTTAATTCTCACACTGTATAACATTTCCCCCAAAATATGATTTTAACAAAGTGCTAGATTGGGCAGTGCCACAAGAGGGAGGCAGTGCTTTCCCCCCACTGTGTGCTTTCGACGTTGCTAATTTGACACAGCTATAAGAAGCCGGGTATGTTACCGTGATCGTCTAAAGATCTTGGCTGTTGATATTCCCACGTGTCTCGGGTCTGCTGGAGAGCTGGCCGCGGTTGGGGTTGGGAGGTGTGGTGTGAGCTTGCAGGCCCCTCCCCCCTCCATTGATTTCCAGGCCCACTTCTGACCAGGGGTATGGCAACTTTAGCTATGGTGAGATCAACGTTTGTCTTGGGAGGGCCAGCATTCATGTGGGAATGCCAACATTGAGTGTAACCACTGCATTTCCCTGTGGAAGTTTTGGAATCACTTCAGGGAGTGAAGTGCCCCAAATGGTAGCCACTTCAGGTAAGAACACTGTAGTTGTGTCACCAGCGCACACCGATAGTTCCTTGCAGCTTTTTACTGTATGAGCCTGGGATTGATTTCTCTGCCGTAGTTTTAAATTCCGAAGGCACAATTTGAAGACTTGAAAACAGGTCTAGGTATGCCTAGAGATGTGAAGGCCCGGAAAAACCCCGGAAAAATTCAGGAAAAAAAACGGGTTTTTTCCCGTTTTTTTCCTGAAGCCTTTTTTGTTTTTTTCCGAGAAATTGGAAAAATTGAAAAAAGAAAAGAAAAGAAACTGATTACGGAACGTTTTATTTTAACATGATGAATAAAATATTTTAAGACAAGGTGTTCAAATATTTTCCAAATCATTTCTAAAATATATATATATGGTATCAGATTGATCTAATTTCTGTGCACTGAGGACAAGCAAGTCCTAGGTTACAAACTGAACTCTCCAATGCAAGAACAAGATGCATTTCTTCCTTTAGGAGGTGCGATTGTCAGAAGAAAATAAAAAAGTTTCAGTTTTGTTTTTGCATGTGGGTGGGTATTCTGTTTGTAATAATTGTTTGGATACACTATATTTTTAATATGCTAGTTGTGATAATTTCATGGCAAGTAAAAATGTCCATAGTCATATTTTATGTTCCTAAAGTAACAGAATGACTTTCAATTTAGAAAAGACGGAAGAAATGCTAATGTAGCATTTTTTTCAATTTTCCCAAAAATTTCCGTTTTTTTCCGGAAAAAAAACGGGTTTTTTTCCGAGCTTCAAAATTTCCGGAAATTTTACATCTCTAGGTATGCTGGAGTAGGAGGTGGTAGAGGGCACGGGGCCAATTCAGGAGGGAGACCAGTTCGCTGAGAATATTGAAAAACTACTGCAAGTAGAAAATGCCTACTGACAGAAAGGAGTTTTTTAAAAAGCGTTTTTCTGCTACCAACGATGGCCGTTCCGACCATACTGCCATTTCTCCCCCCCTCTTTCTGTTGCCGCTCAGGCCTCCGGCCCCTCCCCCTCACATCTCCTGCTTCTTTCCAGGTGCCGACCTCTCCGACTACTTCAACTACGGGTTCAACGAGGAGACGTGGAAGGCCTACTGCGAGAAGCAGCGCCGGCTCCAGCTGGGCTTGGAGCCCTCGGCCCCCGTCAGCACGGAGAATAAGATCACGGTAAGACGCCGAGCTGGAGGGGGTCAGTTTGGCGGGGCTGCGTTTCCCGTCCCCGCCAGCTGAGGAGCGTGAGGCCTCGCTTGTGGCACAGGGACCAGTGGCTTACGGGTTTGAAAGCGGTTTAGCAGTGGCGCGGAAGACCGCATCCAAGCTCAGCAAGCAGGCAGTCTGAGGGATGGCCCCCGTCATCTGTGGTGAAAGGCTCTTGTGTAGCAAACGTGAGGAAAGAATCGTTTTCCAATAGTCACAAAAGCGGGGCCGCTAAATCCCCCAGGGAGCAGATCAGGGCGGCAGGTGCCGTCGCCTGCAGGGGAAGGCACTGGAAGCCGGCCAGCAGGGGAGGTTTTCTTATCTGTCACTTCCCTCACTTGGCTGTGCACTGCAGGCCGAACCTTTGTCTGGGTTGTTGCTGTCCAGGGGTCCTTTCGTAGAAAAAGAGGTGCAGGAGCTCATTGGCACAACTCATTAGCATAACTCATTTGCATAGGTGACATCACCGGAAGTGTGTCAACTACTAATGTTGGCTACTAGACTAGATGGCTTTAGGAGAGAATATTGCAAATTCAAACCACATAGGTCCATCAGTGGCCGTTAGTTCTGACGTTCAGATGGAACCTCCATGTTCACAAGCAGTGTACCTCTGAATGCCAGTAGCTGGGGACAGGAGGAGGGGAAGAGTCTGGCTTCTGTGACCTTCTTCATGGTTCCTCTGAGGCCCCTGGCCGGTCCCTGTGTCCAGGCTGAGCCACCTGGGCCATTGATCTGACCCAGCTGGGCTTTTCTCTTGTGACCGCTGCATTCATTCTCTCTCTCTTTCTCACTTTCATCTTGCTCAGGTTCAGCAAGGAAGAACAGGAAATGCAGAAAAAGAACCAGAGAATAATATTGTCAAGATGGATTTTAAAACGGATTTTGTGGCCCTGGTCGGTGGGCGGATAAAAGCCGGGCCTCCCCCTAACAGGTACACGGACTGCATTCTGAGCCTTTCGCATTAAGCAAATATTACAGCAAGCCGGTTTTGCTTGAGGGCTTCACATTGGTAGAGACGTAACTGTTTTAGTCCCGGCTTCTGTATCGCCAAGAGTGTATTCTGCAGTGCAGATTGTCTTAAATTTATGTGTGTCTTCCTGCTTCCCCAGACCTCCCTATTAATTCCCCTTGCCCGCCCCCCCCATATGAAAAAGAGCCCTGCTGGGTTGGACCAGAAGTCCCTCCAGTCCGGCATCCTGCTTCTCACTGCAGCCGGCCAGATGCCCTGGAAGGCCCAGTAAGCAAGACACGGAGGCCTCCTCCATTGGGGCCCCTCCACAGCTGGGCATTCAGAGGTGTACTGCCTCAGAACATGGAGGTTCTATTTAGCCCTGACTGCTTGTACCTGTTGATGGCCTTATCCTTCACGAAACTCTACTGATGCTGTTGTGGAAACGTTGCGTCCTGCTTACGTTGAGATCACACCTGTTTATCCGTTCTGTGCATCAACCCAGAATCATACCCAAGACAAGTTAAGGCTAAAGAGAACGCAGAAACTAAGTGGTGCTTTTGCCGGAAGGTTGGCTTCCTTGCACACACCCCATCTGGCTTGGGCCCTGGCAGGTGCCCCCCCGCCCTCTGGGGCCTGTTCTTCAGTAGACACCTGAGGCTCTGCATCTGCCGCCCCCCCCAGGCCAATCTCTGGGAGGAGCAGACAAGCAGCTCTCCCTTGGCTGGAGAGGCTGTTCTGTGGCCTAGATCCCAGTGCACGCTCTCTCTCTCTCTCTCTCTCTCTCTCTCTCTCTCTCTCTCATGCATGTTCACACCCACGCAATTCCCCCCCCACCCACCCACACAGGGAGACGTGCAGGGTGGAAGTGGGATAGGAGTCCATACAGGCACATGATCCACAAGGTGTGTAGGGGGCAGCTTTTGGGTGCTGCACCTGTAAAGATGTTACTTTCGCCTTTTGTACTAGGAAACTGGGTGGGACCATTGATGTGATTGGTGGCCAGGCAGGCACCATCAGAAGGGTAGAAGGAAGGCGTCGCGATAAGCATGCCTCCGAGGAGAACCCCATTCAGGTAAGCCCTCCTTTGCACAGACCTTGGGAAGGTCAGTTTGGTCTCTAACTTGGTTGTTGGATGAAAGCTTAAACCATGATCTGGTGTCCCTGGCAGGCAAGTTTCATAGAATCACAGGGTTGGAAGGGGCCGTAGAGGCCATCCAGTCCAACCCCCCCCTGCTCAATGCAGGATCAGCCTAGAACATCCCTGACAAGTGTTTGTTTAGCCGCTGCTTAAAGACAGCCAGGGAGGGGGAGCTCACCATCTCCCCAGGCACCCTGTTCCACTGTTGAAGTACTCTTACTGTAGAAGAGTTTTTCCTAATATCCAGCTGGTGCCTTTCTTACTGTCATTTAAACCCGTCACTGCAAGTCTTGCCCTCTCCTGCCGACAGGAACAGCTCCCTGCCCTCCTCTAAGTGACGGCCTTTCAGATACTTAAAAAGAGCAATCATGTCCCTCCTCAAGCTCTTCTCCAGACTGAACATCCCCAGGTCTTTCAGCCTTTCCTCACAGGGCTTGGTCTCCAGGCCCCCGATCATCCTTGTCGCTCTCCTCTGCACCCGCTCCATTCTGTCCACATTCCTTTTTGAAGTGAGGCCTCCAGAACTGTGCACAGGACTCCAGGTGTGGCCTGACCAATGTGGTGTTCAGCGGGACTGTGACCTCTTGCAATTTGGATGCTATGCCAAACCCTCAGCTGACTCTCACGTTCTGTCTTTAGAATTGTTTTGTGCAGGCCTTGTTAGGTTTAATTGTGTCTCGCCCGTGTTACGGTGGTGAGCACGAAACGTTGAGGAAATAGTCCGTTCCCTGGGTTGTGAGTAGGGGCAAATGCGTGCCTCAGGATATGTCTCTTT